CCCCAAAACCCCAAAACCCCAAAACCCCAAAACCCCTTGTACATTTTAACAAATTGAACTATTTGGACCGAAATTATTCATTGAAGAGGTCAAAAAGGAAGAGACAAACCACTAAGGGGAGATCTTTAAACTAGACTTAGAGATGCCTAGGGTTTGTATCTTGAATCTATTAGGCCCTACCTTTCTGAATAGGATAGTAATGATGCAGGAACCTAACCTTTCGCAAAATTAGAAGAGTTTTTCAAAGAAATAGGTGAAGTTTGAAAAGTTCTTAAGTAAATGTATGCTTAGAAGGCTTATCTGAAAGAGATATCACAGCTCTGAATATGACTCTTGTCATATTTTTGAGCAATATTGTTATGGTCAAAGTCCAAATTGGATAGATGATGTCTGTCCTCTTTGATTAAATCTTCTTCCTGACTTCGTTTCCTTCACTCAAGAGTGATAAAATCAACCTCTCCTCATTCTTTCTGTCGCCTTAAAGAAAATTCATTAGCATAATCTCTTGGGCTAGTAAACTTTGTAATTGAGCGAATCTTATGAGCTTTGGGCCAGAGCTTTCCAGGAGAGACAAACCCTTTATTTCTTTTTGCAGAGTTTACTTTCTCCTTGATGATGAATTCATCAAGGAACCTTATTGGTTCATTCTGTTTAACTTGTGATAAAACTGAAGAATTCTCAAGGATCACATCATGACTGAAAGCTCTGCTTCTTCTAACTCCAAAGCTAGGAGTATTACTTGGGCTATCAATGTTCTGGTTAAGTGCTCTTGCTTCGCATCTTGGATAAGTCTTCTTCTTATTTAGAGAAGCTTTGGTTTTTACAACTCTGACCCTGAGATTTGAATGTACTGGAGATCTTCACTCTTTTCTAAATCTTGATTTCATTTTCTCATTGATGTTGATATTTGGGAACTATATAACGGTTCATTCTTAATACATAAACTGTTTAATATACTTGGTAAAGTATAAAGCGATAACCTTGTTATACAAAAACAGTAGTTAGGAGCATCTACAACAAAAATTACTTCACTAGCGTCTCTTTGAAGGAAACACCAAAATAAAGACAACACATGGCTTTGTGGTAGATCATATAATATCTAAAAGTTGAGTGTCATTGGCCGATATTAGAATTGATGGATCTCCACTAAGCATATCTCGAATTCTACATAAAGTGCCACCAATGCTAACCATTCTTGTTTAAACTGCGTGGTCAGCCTAAAAGTGTAATAAAGAAGGTTGGCACATTTAAAACAGGAGTTTGCTTGGTTAATAATTCTTAAATCCAATAAACCTCCATTTTGTTTCACATTTTACACAGTTACAAAAGTTGCAGATTTTTTTAAATTCTTCCTACTTGAAATATTTCAGAAAGAATCGCCGTTTTATGTTAAGGGAACACTATCTGGGTGACTTTCAAAGATACTTCAGATAAAATTAGGAGCCTCATACTAGGCATGAGAGTTATATTTCCCTCAATTTCTGATGAAAAATTCATGGTTAACCAAACTTTAATTCCCCTGCAAAGATTCGGAAAATTTTGAAGGGAGAGTTCTTTTAGAAGCCTCTGAAAGCAGGGTTAATTGTGACTGTGCATAACCATGAAAATAATCATTTATAGACATAATTTGCATAATTTTTAGATGAGGAAGAAGCTAAAAATGAGGTTTAGTGTGTTAAACCAGGATAAAATTTTGCTTTATAGCAGATGCAATAATGCTTATTTCCCAAACCATTCCTATTATTAACCATTAAGGCTCAGTAAGAGTGTTTAAATGTTTTTTCTCTCTATCTCCGCAGTATGCTCAATTTTAGGACGATTTTAGATATTTTCTAATTTCTCAATATATGTCACAAATAATTTGACAAAAGGAACCTTAAGATGGTGTAATTGAGGCACTCTAAAAGAGAAAATAGGCTTTAAAAGCATCCATCAAAGTTAATAAACTATTTAAAAGCTGAGAGAAGGCTCTAGATTATATTTATAACAAAGGAAATCATTTTCCAATCGAAGTGTTATTCGCTGATAAGAAATTCATAAGTATCCGAAAAGAAGACTTGACCATCTTGGCGGCTCATGAATACTAAAATTTGTTAAGAATTTTACTGATCATTAGAAGAGGTTTTTACCATTACTAAGATCTCTTTAAAATAAGTCTAAAGCCTTCACCTGTCATTAGAGGATTACTTGATGGTTAGTATAAGAAACATTAGAGACACAAAGTAGTAACTAAAGCTAACAGTTGTTTTCTAAAAAAGCTTCAAATTTGTACAAATAGGCCTTGCTAATATTTTTATTTATCAATGGGAATATCAATTTGGCTAGAAATGTCCAAAACGTGCTTTATAATATGTTCGGCCCTACCTCCAGTGATTAAGACCAATATTTGCATACAATGGGAAGGGTAGTATAACAAAAGTAACCCATTTCGTGCCTTCATTAAAGGGGTTTAATAAGATTTTATACTCATCAACGATGAGCCTAGCCATCTAAACAAACGTTCTGTTATTTTAAAAGATATATAACATTACTAAACAAGCCAAGACCATAATCTACCAAATTTCTATTCTCTGCAGATTTAGGTACCATTAGCCTAAGTTTGTCTGCTTCTTAGAAAATTGAACAATTAACAGAAGGTTGAGTATTCTTCAGAAATTTTAGAAGAGTCTCAACGGGAAGAAATCAGCAATATTGTGAGTAATAATTAAACTAATTTTGCATGTTTTAATCAAGTTCGTTAGATCGAACCGAATCATGGATATTGGTAAAGAAAAATGAAAATACTTCATGAAATCACCTAAAATTTTCTATCGTTTTAAGAATTTTAGGAAGGACTTATTTCCCTAAAATGACCAGAAATTCTTCATTATTGGAGAATTTTATAACTTCTAACCATCCAGATTAAGTTCTTGGCTGGTCATAAGAAAATTGGAAATGAAGGCTGATATTTTATGGAAACACACCAAGCCGGTGAGATCTTCAGTAAGCTGATGATGAAGTGGCATCGGATAATTCTAAGTTTTTATGTAAAGTTGTGACATATAAGGTGTCAAGAATGTACTTTTACATCTAAATTTGAAAAAACTAGCTTATCCATACATTTAAGACTATTTCAAACATAGAGTGTTGAGAAGAAGAACATTTGCTTACCTCAAGATTAGATCTGGTTGGCTTCGGAGAGAACATTCTAACTATAAAAATGATTAATATTCAGTATTTCTTGATTTCAATGATAATGGTACAAGTAGAAGAGTCACGTATATCTCTACTATCAATAAGATGAATCGAAAATGAGTGTTATAAGCACAAGAATTGGCTTAAATATCAGTAAACAAACTAATTACATTTGCTTTGGGTTTTCATTGGAACTACTCTTTTCTTCATGCTTATTTGGGTCTTTTTCGCATTCTTTCTGACACCACCGGCAACTTTTCTCTTCAAATTGGCAATATTGAGAGTTAGTTTCATTCCGTTCATTCCAACAAAGTATGATTTGTTGGTGTTTTTAGCCTTGGCATTATACACAGACTACATATTAGCTCTTGAAGGACTTACCAAGTTGGAATTGGAGAGCTTTAATTTCATCGATTTCATTTATAATTGAAAATTATTTATCTCTTCACAATAGTTTATTCCATATAGGGGTTTTGGGGTTTTGGGGTTTTGGGGTTTTGGGGTTTTGGGG